GGTAAAAAAAAGAGTAGTATTCTGACAGGTCATCAAATGATAGATTGTTCAAAATCTTGGTTGTTCAATAAAATTAACTAAAGGATCATATGATAGAAAAAAGATAGATTGCACCACTTGAGCATAATACAGGTGAGAAGAAGATGAATACATAACAAGGCTTTCCTCAAGGGCTGGGTTTTCGCGTGTCTGGAGTATGATAAGGTTAACCAACACAATAGCATAGGACAGTACATAAAAGAAATGATGCAGTCCTGGTCAATAGCCCGCAAAGGTCAATAATCTAGTGCATGCAGGTAATGAAAACTAACTACAGGAACATTTTTATGTAATATGGAAACAGTGAGTGAGTTAAAATTGAAGCGGGTAATAGAGTTCTGACATTAAAAGGATTAAAAAAAAAAAACGCGCTCCTCATATTAAATGAAGAGCATGACATGTCTGAGAGACATCTTTGATGAAATTGTTGCATCAAGAGAAACAAATTACAAATCTGTACATCAATCCTCTATCCTCAGCTTGAGACGTTGCTTTAGTGAATGACAACAAAAGTGGCAGCCTATTTACAAAACAAATATAGCACAATATCAGCAGGCATCACTTTGTCATAGCAGATAAAAGAGAATCACTTCTTATAACGAAATATTCACTTTGCTGTAGATCTCCTACTATGCTCTTTGGTTCTGCATCTTAAACTTTACTCTTTGTACATTTGATTTTCCCAAATATGCTCTAAATTAGTTAACATAAATGATGGCTAGTCATTCTGTTAACATATTTCAAAGATACAATCTCGCCTAAACTAGTAAACACTTAAATCATGTAGTCAGAAATACATTAAAAAAAAAAAAAAGTACCCCTGATAGAAAAACAAATCTTGGAAAATATTTCAAGACTAGTGTCTTGTCAAGTTGTCGCAGCTTAATTTGCTTGGTTTAATGGTTTACCATACATTATAGTAAGTGATAGTCAAGATACACTGTCCCCTGCTTATGTCAAGATACAGTCTAACAGCAACAAACGAGACCAATGCTTGGGGACCAGTAAAGATGAACTGTTGAACGAAATCCAGCATACTGCTACTAGCACTACTACTAGCTCATTAGTTTGGACTGATTTTATTCACAGGTATTGCAGGGACTTTTATAGTATGCACTTGAGCAATGAAGCAACCAGCAAGATAGGGCTTTGCTTGGCATATTGCTTAATATATGGCTTTTTTTTATGTTCTGTTAAATATAAATGTTTGAATACCATTAGGATATAGGGTGTTTATGAGAGAAGCCAGTTCAGTTTTTTAATACACCGGTAGCATTTATACATTCATAGGTAACGACATTTGGACAAGAATACATTGGTATTGTTATGCACATAACTGAATCGGGAAACTTCTAAACAATATCTGCTGTTGACATTGTACAAACAAGTCTTTATGGAGCATTATGGATGGTCCCTTCTACATCAACTATGGCTTCTGATTACTGCACACTATTAGAACTACTGTGTGGACAGATACCGGTCATACATTTTTATCATAGTCAAGTCATTCAAGACTCCAACCTGATTCTTTTTTACCCTCCATTTTCTAATGTAAACATTTCCACCTCATTGCATTTACTACATCCCAGGTCTACTTTTTTTGTTAGGGATCGGATGCAATTTTTGTTTAATTAACCATTTTACTTTAAAAAAAATTTGCGTTTCAGTTCTGTCTTGCGTGCTGTCCAGTTTGTAAGTCCCTTGCTGGTTGCTTCATTTCTCAAGTGCACACTACATAAGTATATAAGTTCATTAGTTTGGACTGATTTTATTCACAGGTATTGTAAAGTATGAGTATAATATGAGGTTTTGGCAGACATTAAGAATCAGATCCTAGAAGAACTGCAGCACAGTACTATAGCAAAATCATTTTGTGGCACTGTTATAGCAGATACCATGCATCGTAGACTAGGCAAAGAAGCATTAATGCAAAAATGAAGATTATTCTGTAATATATCCATATGAAATCATAGCAATAGAAACCAACAGTACATCTATACATAATAAAGCACCAAACATCCCTTTGTCAAAAAAAAAAAAAGCACCAAACATAGCAATGCTAGCTTAGGTGTTTGTTCAAATAATACAAAAGCACACTACCGAATAAGGCTAAATTGTTTCTGCACGCTGTTTACATTATGAAACTCTAACACAAGGCCTAAGATCACATCACACAACATTCCGAGGAATTGAAGCAGTACAAGTCACCAAGCTCTTGACATAAGCATCTGCACAACAAATTTGATAGCCATAATTTCTTCTAATAGTCCTTATCTGTTGGCTAGTAATGTCATAAGACATCAGTCTCATTGGAGAATATCTCCAAGACAGCAAGAAAAATACACCAGAATATTCATCATAAGTAATCCTTGCATTCCTGTTCCTTATGAAGAATTTCAGTGCATATAAACTCGAACCTCCTTTAAAGCACCGTACCCATGGTTTCTCAGGCACAACCACTCCAACATCTTCTCTCATAATCCATATTTTGCTACTCTCAGCAGAAATAACAATTTCTTGATTTTTTTTGGTGGTAAAAGTAAGAAAATCGTTAGAAACATGTAGCTCAAAAATTAATCATACCAGTAAATAATTAATAAATGCAATAAAGTTCCAAGGCAAATTAATAATTTTGCAAAAATTATTATAAAAAAAAAACAAAAAAAAGATAAATAGAGTTTAGGAGGGAAAATTCCCTCCAAAATGATCTTTACATGAAGAAATCAAAGCTACGCCTCCATATGTAAACTTAATTAGACTATCTGCTAGCTAATTTTTTTGTTGCTAATTGACCTTTCAGAGGGTGTTATACACTTCTATTCTTTTTAAAGCTGTGGAATTTATTTATGTGGAGTTCCCCTCCCTTGATCGAATTTGGAGATGTGACGACTTCAATTAAGTACGAGTAATTAATATTTGGCACATTAGTCAAATCAGCAAACCAGCTTAACCAAGTGACAATTATATATAGGCCTTCAACTTCTCAACAATAGACTTTACCCTTAATCTCTGCTTAATGCTTTAACGCGCTGATAACAACAGTTGCAAAGATCAGCTTGTGGAGTTAAACTCGACAAGAGCACAAGCTAAAGGAGAATAGCTAAATGATTAGGAATTCAAGGCAGAAATACAATGCACCAATTCAAAAGGCATACAATGCACCAAATTCCTACCTGCACCAATAATCGGAAAAAAAATGAAGTGGATCAAAGAGAAAATATCATCATCACTATGTAAATTCAAAAGGCATACAATGCACCAAATTTATATAAAGGGAGTATACGACGCTTTAATTAATCCTTCTACTTTCTACCTTAACTGTATATAGAAAGAAGATTGGCATACTGATGATTCCAACTTTTCGTTTTTTTTATTTTTTTTATTTACTTCAAACATCTTAGATGCAATACTGGTTACAGCACTTATACATAGTCAAATACATTATGAACAAGTTCAAACAACTCAATGGTGGGGCTAGCTCTTCTATTCAGGTTCATGGCTGGGTTCTCTTGGTTATATGGTTCATCTGGTGGAGAGATCGAGCTTCAAGAAATAGTAAATGGTTATCATCAAGGAAAAAGCTCTGATCAGCCACAAAAAATTCCTAATTCTCCCATTTGCAAATTGGATTAGCCATCCTTTATAAGATCAAAAAAATAGTGACTTGCTGGAAACTCAGTCTTTAGTTGATACAGGATGTGGGACGTATAGGCCATTCCAAAGTAGTCTACATTAGTTTCTTTTGCCCTTTCTAAGCGATCAAAATTTTAAGAATTGGTTAATATATTCAAGATAATTAAGTACGGGGTATTTACAAAGTACCGTCTTGATTACATCTTATTTGATCAGATCTGGAAAGAACAATAAAGATAGCAGGGAGTTCAAACTTCACACTACCCAAGCTAGCGCAGCATAAACCTCACCAGAGAAGCTAACTTCACATGAATGATTGATGTATCTACCAAACGACTTTATTCATACCAATGAGCATGAAGTGAAAATTAAATGAACAGGCGGATGAATAGTTATTGAAACACTTCCATGCTCCTCTGGTGCGAAATTACAATAAAGACATGATTTTCAGTATCAGATACTAAGTTTCTGTTGTCTAATCAACCAAATTGATGCAGAGATGATAAGGCTGATAATACGGGGCAGTACAAGATTGATGTGGCTAATATAGGTGACATAAAACTCATGCTGTTTCAATTACAATCCTTTACACAACACCACAACAAAGTAGCACAACCCTTTTGACTATATTTTTACATCAAAGAAGGAACAGGTTTTATTCGAGAACATGTAAAAAGATTGAGATGTAGCAATCAACTCACCAGAGGTGCAAAAAGCAAATAGAACATGCACAGCCAAACGTACAAATTTGGCACTGAGAACTTCAAAATCCTTTCAATGTGGATAGTGTGAATTAAAAGATAATGCATCAGACCATTAAATACTATAAATTTGTTATAAAATAGAGTTATCAGTTCAGAATTTGCATGAATTTGCTAAAGATTGATATATGTTGCATCATACTGCACCATCAAGAATGGTACATTAATTGACAAGGAGCCGAAATGAAACCAAGAGATCCCTCACTTCATAGGAAACAGAGGAGACTAAAATTATTTTACCAAACCAAGATAATAAGGTAAAGAGAAAATGATAAATCTAGCCAAAATAAAGCTTGGCATCCCGAACCAAAAGATTTCTGATAAATTACTTCGTGTTTAGCCAAGGTGCAAGCGAACACTTCGACGACAAGGAATGAAGTCCTTACTTGAAGAGGAGACATATTGACCACAGAATTTGATCTCACAACCTGAGGGATTATGAAGGCGAAAGAATTTTTCACACAACACATCTTCTTGCCTTGAGACTTTTGCTTTTTTACCTCGTATAGAAACATGAACCGATAGCAATTCCAACACTTTTCCGCAATTCAAAATGTACTTTATCATCTAAAAATCAGCATCACTCTCACTAATATATCTTATCTTGATCCTCTTTAATCGACTCCAGCAAGGGCTGCAACAAGAAGGCCAATGCTCGAGTGCATCCCTTTTTGTTAAGTATCTCGATATTTCTACTTTGAGCACCTCTAAAGAGGGACAGCATTGTAGTAAAAGCACCACATCATTCCAACTCCATCCACAACTAGGTATCTCACAATAACCATAATACATCCCAAGAACAACTTCATTTTCTAAACTACAAACAGCCTCCAAAGCATAGTTATCTATTTTAAGGGATCTTACTTCAGAAATCAACTGCGCAAGTCCTGCTATACGACTCAGGTAATTAATTTCCTTACCAAAATTAATTTTCTTAGGAAATCTAAATTCTGCACTTATTAATGCACTAGAATACCCAACAAAACGAATATTCGCTAAACCAAAAGGAATATGTAATGTCATTTCTTCTAGCTTTGACAGATTAACTACAAGTTGGTAGGTTGGAATAACGTTATAGTCATACGCTCTAATAATAACCAGTTTCTTGATGTAATGAGCCGATAAATCCAACAAATGAACAAACATATAGCAATTACCGTGAGACGTGATCACCAGATTTAAATCTTCCAATAGTGGACAACCCCTAATAATTGTAGCCAACGCATCATCCCAATATCCAGATAATTGTAGTTTCTTTAATTTAGGAAGATTTACAACAAATCCACCAGCAGGAGGACGAATAAAAATATTTTTAGTCAACATAAGCACAACTAGAGATTGACATTGAAAAAAACAAGTACTCGTAGATATATTAGTAGGTAGATTCGATTCAACCACAATTTGCTCTGGATTTCGTGTACATAGATCCCGAATCCAAGATTCCGCATTGGAAAAATCATAAAAATCCCTCGACAAACAGAGATAAAAACTGTTTACTTTCGGAAAGGGAAGCTTCGGAAAAATAAGAGGTGCAGAAGAATTATAACGACGAGAAGGAAGACAAGTTGGGGTGAAGACGACGTTAGTGATGTGAGTCCAGAGATAACGCCATTGATGAGACAACACAGAGGTGATTACGGCAGATTTGATTGGAAGGAAGGAGATGATGTGTATAAGGATTGTGTCTGGGAGTAAACTCAATCTATCATTCTTCATTATTTTTGGTTGCGCCATATTCATTAGGGTTTTAACACGCAAACTGTAGTATACACTATACAGAGAGGTTCGTATATACATTGGGTCTTCGATTTTATTTGCATATAATATTTAATGTATTTTTGTAAAATGATTTTATGTGATATATATGAATGATTTGATTTGTATATATCTTCTTTTTTGAAAAACGATTTGTATATATCTTTAATTTTTTTTTATTTTTTTTTTTTACTTTTTTTATATATCTTCTATATAAATAATAGATACATTTTTTGTTTATGGTTACTTTTCTATATATATATATATATATATATATATACGGGGAGGTTCCGCTAAAAACAGAGCTTATGGTAAAAACTAAAAACAAGCAATCTTAGCCATTCATTAGTAGCACAAAAGATCAGACGGTTCTAAAGTCCTAAGATCATTCCAACCTTACATATAATCAATTCAACCGTTTTAAAGGGTTTTTTTTTTTATTTTTTTACAAAGGCAACATTTTAAAAGTCACTACATGCTAAAATAAGGTAACTTTATCTAAATTGACGATGTTTACATAGAGTCACTATATATAAAAATAACGTAACTATATACAAAAATAGGGTAGCTATATCAATTTTTACAATATTTACATTAAGGTCACTATATACAAAAATAGGGTAACTATTTCAATTTTGACCAAATTTACATAGAGGTCACTATATACAAAAATAGGGTAACTATAACAATTTTTACAACATTTACATTAAGGTCACTATATACAAAAATAAAGTAACTATATCGACTGAGTTTTTGACACCATTTACATAAAGGTCACTATATACAAAAATAAAGGTCACTATATATAAAAATAAGGTGACTGAAACAAAATTTACAACATTTCCATAATTCTAAGGTCATTATATCGAAAATAGGTAACTATATATTAACTTCGGGTAATTATATCAATTTGACACCATTTACCCAGAGGTCAATAAATATAAAAATAAGTATTAAAAAAGTCTATGTAGGATTCGAACCTACATCCCGTGATTACACGGTGCTCGACCAATTGAGCTAATAGGTTTTCAACATGCCAAAACAGCCAATAAAAGCATACCAACATCACAGACCAACATCATACAGACTGAAGCAAAACAAGCTTGATAAGATCAACGTTTCAAGAACAGAAGTAGAGGCAAATAAAAGCATACCAGGATATCATGATACGAGCAAGCCACCTGTATATGATATTGAACAGGCAGGCACCAAAAATCATACAATCAGAGATAAATCTTCACAAAGGCTGAAGAAGGTTACTACACTAACTCCAGCTGACAAGGTAAGATCAGGCATGATAGAGCTCGCAATAACACAAACTAGCATACTCGAATTCTAGAAATAAATTTCTAAAGACACGCTTCTACCATTTAACAGATATAAGCCTATGAGGCTATGATTCCCAAAACAATACATGTCTAGCTCCGTATCAGAGTGCACTTAGATTGGTACCATTACCTCAAAAGAAAGTCTATAGTAGGATAACAATACATTTGACCACTTGGTACTAACATTTAACTCTCTGACTCTTTGAGTGGAATAATAAAATCTTAAATGAAAATGTACAAATCTACTGCAGAATTAAACAAAATATCGTTCACAATCACAATCACAATCACAATCACAATCACAATCACAATCACAATCACAAGCAGAACTTAACCAATCACATTCTTTCTTATACAAAACATATAACAACCCATTAATAGGCAAAATCACATATCTACACATCACAGCACACAGGAGTGAAATCAACATGCTCACAATCACAAGCAGAACTTTCACCCAATCACACACCTATACACAAACGAGCAGCTTACAGTCCATTCACAAACGAGCAGCTTACTGTTCAATTATAGGTTGTATATATAAACAATTTCTACGGCAATACAAAAGCAAGGAAATCACATTTATGACAATCAGACTAAATACATCAATAAAATGCAGCAACATTAGAAAAATATCATCAAAATAATCAAATAAAACACAAAGTTCAGAAAATTTGATGATGAAATTGAAAATCGAACACAAAGTGATAAACTAAGCCGAAAAAATCGAGTGCCTATGATGAATAAAAACAAAACCAATCAAAGAGTGGGAAAAGACAACAACTTGAAAATTTCTACTAGGTATTTCATCCAACAGGTGGTGTGAACTATCAAAATTTTGAATGAGCAGAGCACAAAACCTCCATTGAAACTCAAATATCCAAAAAAAAATGTGAAAAATAACTCAAATCTATCTTCAAACTCAATAAATTTAGGAAGAGGGAACAATTTCGATCAGATTAAGATATTCAGGTCGTCGCATGCACAAATACACATTATTAACACATCGTAAATCGGACAATCAAGTTAAAGAAATAAACAGTAATACAGATTAAATATTTCTACTGGGCATTTCGTCGAACAGGTTGTGGACACTATAAAAAAATAATGCATGAACACTAAACTTCCATTGAAGCTCAATCTGCAACAAGATAACAACTCAAACCAAAAAATGTACAAAATCGATTTCATACCATCATAGTCTTATAGAAAGATAACAACATAACAACAAAGTAAACAATTTGTATGGTTAATCAACAATCATAAGCTTACCACCACTCATTTTCTTCGTTCTTCTCTATCTCTTCCTTTACAATCACATGCATCTACTCTTACATCTTTCGCAACCTATAATATACAAGCACAAAATCAAATCAGTACAAAAAAAATAAATCAATTCACACGCTCAAAGTTGTAGAATCGGATGGGAAAAATTGAGATTTTGAGAGATGTTGAGTAATTACATAAAAGCCTAATCTACTAAATCAAAAAAAATTACACAAAATGCAGCTCAAAACTAATCCTATGAAGCTAAATTTGAAATCGAAAGTCAAAAAATTGAAATCGAAAAATCATTTTGATTTTCTGAAGGAAAAGTACAAAACACAAAATTAAACATAAATTAAAAACCTAGAAATAACATCATAGCTCACATAATAGATTGTTGATTGAGAAATTGAACAAAATCAAACAGGAAATCGCAAAATCGAACAAAATCGAACAAAATTTATATTCTAGTCAAGAATAGAATTGAAACAGCGAATTTTGATTTTAAAATTAATAGAGTAAGAAGATGAAGATGAAGATGATATCAAACCAGCGGAAGATCGGAGATTTCTGGATTCGGAGAGTTCAAGATCTTCAGGAAATTGGGGGAAAAAATGTCGAGAAATTAGGAGAGAGGAGAGAGAAGGAGGAGAGATAAATCTGACGGCTTATAACGCGAGTTTCATCTAATCCATCCGATACAAATCTGACGGTCCTAATCATCCGTTTTCAGTTTTCACACTAAGATTTGTTTTCATATGATCCACACTCTATATATATATATATATATATATATATATATATATATATATATATTAACTTAACCTTTTAAAAACAATCTTCTATCAATGATACAGTAGTACGATTGTATGGAGTAGAATAATTGTATCGGTATTAACTTAACCTTCCACCCCCTGCTTATGTACAGATACATTCTAACAGCAGCAAATAAAGGATCAATGCTGGAGGAGCAGTAAAGGTGAACTACTGTTGAGTAATATCATGCTGCAACCAGTAAAAAGTATGGCATATTGCTTAATAACATGTTTTTTTATGGCCTCTTATTCTCTTAAGGGCATCACTTACAGAGCTTGCAGTTTGCAAGTCCCTTGCTGGTTGCTTCAATGTTCAAGTGCACACTAAATTAGTATATATATTAAATTTGGATAATACCTCTTTAGGTAATGATTAAGGAGTACAAAGTGTTTGATTTTGCAGGAAGCGAACAAATACAGCACTACTACTAGCTCATTACTTTGGATTAATTTTTTTATTCACAGGTATTGTAAACTGTAATTTATGAGTATAACGAGAGCTTTTGGCAGACACTAAGAATCAGATCCTAGAAGAACTTCTACAGAACTAAACACAGATACTAACACATTTTTCGCAATAGTTTGCAGAACTTTTCATGAATCTCATGTCTAACAGATTGACAAAATCATTTTGTGACTTCTGTTGTAGCAGATACCATTGTAGACAAGGCAAAGGGTGCCTTTACCACCTCAATCAACTAACAACTTAAACCGCTACAAATAAGCATTAATGCAAAAATGAATATTATAGTTATCTGTAATCTATCCATATAAAATCATAGCAATAGAACCAACAGTATATCAATTTATAATAAAGCACCAAACGTAGCAATGCTAGGCGTTCGTTCAAAGAATACAAAATCACACTAAAGAATAAGGCTAAATTGTTTATGCACGCTGTTTACATTATGAAACTCTTACACAAGTCCTAAGATCACATCAATCAACATTCTGAAGAATAGAAGCAGAACAAGTCACCCAGCTCTCGACATAAGCATCTGCACAACAAATTCGATAACCATAATTTCTTCTAATAGTCTCAATCTTTTGGCTAGTAACGTCATAAGACATAAGTCTCACCGGAGAATCTCTCCAAGACAGCAAGAAATATACACCAGAGTATTCATCATAAGTAATCCTTGCATTCCTGTTTCCTATGAAGAATTTAAGTGCATCTAAACTCGAACCTCCTTTAAAGCACCGAACCCATGGTTTTTCCGGCACAACCTCTCCAACATCTTCTCTCATAATCCAGATTTTGCTACTCTCAGCAGAAATACCGAATACTGCCAACGATTTCCCGAAATCAAACAGACACTTGAACATCTTCCACCCAGGCAATGGCACTCGTCGAAACTCCTCTACACCAAAATCAAAGGAAGACATATGTGTGTGTTCGAAACTGCCATCATACTCAACTACTATATCTCCATTTATCCAATGTGCAGCTCCTTGACAGAAATAACGGTGATGCAATCGAATACTAAAACTCGAAACTAGATTATTCACACCAACATCCTTAATCTTCCAACGACGATTATTAAATGAGTAGACCGCGATCTTAACATTA